TAGATGATCTGGGGAAACGAGGTCTTGGACTTTCCGTCGAAAAAATTTATAGCGAACACTACTCGGCGTGAAATTTCCTGGCATGGATTTTCAAGAAATTTGGATCTTCATCTTCATTTGGCGCCGTCACTGCATTACGTCTGATTGGGGCTGTGGGAGGGCCTGGTGGTGGGGTTTCGTCGGACCAACGCCATATTGTCGAAATCCAGTTTGCCGAATCCCAGATTGCCTGTCCACTTTGCCGAAATCCCATTTATTTGCCGAAACCCAGTCAAAAGCAGTGAAACATTAAAAACAGCATAACATTTGTGATGGAGCACACTTTTAACGTGATTGCGTTTTTACGCCGCTGGTGGAGCCCGCGGATAGTAAGGACAAAGACATAGATATCTATTTATTCATCCATAATTGGAAATTGTTCTTCTCCACTTTCAAAGAAGAAAGAAAATTACATGATTTATCGGGGGAAAAAAGAAACTATTACATATCTATTTGTTAAAGAGGAAAATTCGACAACTTATTATTTGCAAAAAAAGAGAATTAGAAACGGTCGACCATTTTCTATTTGATTGTGAAGGTCTAACCTCTATAAGAAATGAATGTTTTGAAAATTTGAAAACTGACTTGTATAAAATTAATAGGTACTTTTGGGACATTTTCTTAGAAGGTTCATGTGAATTTAGGCACCAGTTACTTTTAGATAATATTTTTGATGCATACCAGAATATTGAAATTTGTAACATATTTGATAACCATTGTAAAACATATTTAACAAAAGCAATGACTGAAAGAACTGAACTAATGAAAAACATTACCACCAATATTTAATTTTTATGTTATTTACTGTACTTATTAACTTACATTTTTGTCATTTTTATTTATTTACTTTATATTCTGTAATTAAATTCTCTATTTTTTTTTCTTTCTTTTCTTTTTTTTTTGTACATTAAGTTATTCCTTAATAACTACAGAATAATGAGAGTAACATATTTGTTTGTCCAGTATTTTTTCTTTACTCATTTATCTTTTCAATAATTCATTTTTATATATTGTCAGTTGTTGTTTTGTAACTGTTGTACGGGTCGAACCTCTCCTGCGCGAGAGTGTTCCTCTGTTATAAAAGAGAGAACCAATAAATCTTATCTCATCCTATCTTATCTAGAAGCCTTCCAATCACTGTTTATTCGTATAATAAATAACTGTTATTATAATTATTAGTTTTGTCTTATTCTGTAAATCAAACTTGATTTAACAATTTAGCTATCAGCAGAAAATTAATTTAAAAGGCCTGTCAGATAAAATGTCTTAACAAGCATATTTAAAATAAGCGTATAAAGATAATATGTATATCTAAATGAAATAAATAAATAAATAATAATAATCTACAATTATACACCTGACTAGATTGGAGGCTCTGTCTGCAGGGTCTCGGCAAAAAAAAAAAATCCATGTGTTCGCATTGGTGGTTTTTTAAGGGCTTTTTATACCCCAATATTAGAAATTGACAATCAAAATAACGTTATATGGATATGCAAGTTATCATTTTTGATCCCGGACGATTTCGTCGAATAAACGCCCTGAGGCGTTTATTGCTGAGTATAATTCCACTGTTATTAAAATGTAATTCTACTGGAGTAAAACATTAATAGAAAGTGTTGGGAATGATGTTTCATTAGATCTGTTTACAATTTGATGATGACATCTGATGACATAATTAATTTCGAAATATTGAATCCCAACACGATGGCGTGCTTTTCAGTACTTGCAGTTTATTCGAGGAAAAAAATATACGCCACGGGGTGTTTTCGAAAGAGGGTTTATTTCAAATGAGGTTCTAGAAGGGGCGTTTATTCAAAGCGGAGATTTTACACGGGTACAAAATACTACGGGAATGTAAATAGGCCTATGGTTCCTCCCTGATCCATCCATCATGTTTTCAAAAGCAGAGTATGCTGTACTTTTGTACGATGGTGACGGCAAATGATTCGGCAAATGGGTTGTCAATATTTCGGTGAACTGGATTCGGCAAATTGGGTTTCAGCAAAGAGGCCATTAATTCAGCAATCATGGGTTTCAGCAAACTGGATTTTGACACACTGGTCGGATACCGTTTCGACCCCAGTGCTAGACCAATTCGAGGGTGGACGCTAATAAGGGGTGAGCGCTGAACTAATAATTTGTAGGTTTAGCCTGGTAGGGCACTAACTATCAAGTGCCCTACCTATTGTGCAGCAATTTTCCTTCAGATACCTGGGTGGTTGTGCACCTGTCTCATAATATCCAAATTACGGTTGAAGCAAGCGTGTAAGTCAACTACCGGAACTGTGTCGTAGAAACGTCGTCGCAAAAACATCTGAAATATCGAATTTTGGAATGGTGTTTCTTCTAAGTAAGAAAATATACATATAGGTAAGTAGAGACTGTACCATACTGTAGTTGTACAAGCCTGTATGTATGCCTTCATGGAGTTAGATTTAATTGTGGTATCCATCGTTGTGTTGTGTTTTGAGTCATTTTCATACAATGGCATTAAACCGGAACATCTTGAGTGAAAATGTAGACAACAGTAAAAAACAGAGCTAAAGGTTTGTTTTGTGTAATGACATACCGTATTATAGTCGTAGGCACATGTTTTTGCAACCTACATTCAACAATGTAAATCTAAGTACTCTAATCTAAATAATAAATAAATCTAAGTAATCTAAGTAGGCTAAGTGAAATCATTTCAATTAATTTAATCAGGGAACAGTGATTTAATAAAAGTTTAATATTATTTATATAGTGACTTAAAAATGATCCATGGGTCGTGAAATGCGTTTTCATTTAAATACAGTAGGTGTATTATAACAATCGCTAAATATATAAATTCATGATCTGAATACGGTTAATGTTCTCAAAATTATTGTCTGTATATACATTCTATAATTTTTCTATCTAAATCATTTTAATTAATTTAATATAGTGTAATATTATGTATATAGTGACTTAAAAACGATCCATCATAAAACTTGCTTTGATTTTAAGTTAAAAAAAATTAAAATAATATCTTGGTGTATTTATACAGTTTAATATATTTCCTGCATTGTATTCGTGTATTATAACAATCGCTAAATATATAAATTCATGATCTGAATACCGTTAATGTTCTCAAAATTATTGTCTGTATATACATTCTATAATTTTTCTATCTAAATCATTTTAATTAATTTAATAAAGTGTAATATTATGTATATAGTGACTTAAAAACGATCCATCATAAAACTTGCTTTGATTTTAAGTTAAAAAAATTAAAATAATATCTTGGTGTATTTATACAGTTTAATATATTTCCTACATTGTATTCGTTTTTCTTACTTGTAAACGGCATAATCAATAACATTCAGAAGAAGTGTTCTAAAAATATTTGTTAAATAAAGTGAAGCATTTCCTACCAGAGAAATCTTTACTATTACTGTACTATTCCCTTATTTTGTCACACATTAACTATGGGATTATGCTATGGGATAAAGCAAACAAAGGTTATGTGAATAAAATATTAAAATTGCAAAAGGAAGCTTTAAGAATAATTACCAATAGTGCATATTTATGTCATACGAAGCCTTTATTTGAAAAACTAAATCTATTGAATGTTTTTGATTTATACAAGAAAGAACTAGGTATATTTATGTTTAAATACAACAATGGAATGTTACCCACATTTTTTAACAATATCTTTACTGATCATAAAAGTATTCATGGGTACAATACTAGGAATAAAAATAACTATCGACTAGATATTCATAAGATTGAATCTGTATTTTCTACTGGACCTAAATTTTGGAATAATTTGCCAGAAAGAGTTAAAAACTCTTACAGTGTCAATCATTTTAAAACACAGATTTCTAAGCACATCCAATCTCTTAATGCAAGTTAACCTCATGTTTGTGTGCATATAAAGGAGGTAGCTGCCATTGATTAGGCCTACACATTATATTTTTTGTTGTGTTACAGTATGGCGACACTCCATTTCATGAATTGTTGCAAGGTGACAATAAATACCAAGTTCACCAGGACGGAACCCAATCCTTGTTACATCCTGGAGCTGACCCGAGTCTATTGAACCAGGTAAATAATTTGCCTATGTAGCCTTTCTTATTATATATAT